ACAGGCAAGCGCTACCACGCCTGGCTGATTTTTTTGATTTATTGTAGAGAATGAGGTCTTGCTGCCCAGGCGGGTCTCGAACCCGCGGGGTAAACATATTTTTTTCATTTCTCTGGGTTTATACCTAGAGTAGAAGAGTTTCCCTTTGTAAACACCGTAATTTTCTATTTCTCCATAAATGGTACTACTGTACTCAATAAATCTCATTAATTTTAGTGGATTAACTTTATTAATATAGAAAAATAAGTATTATCAATAAATTATTAAGGTCAGTAGAAATATAAACTGCATTAATAATACAAGATAGCATATGTACTTATAGTGGTTAGGAACACAGACTTTGGTATCATATGGCCATAAGTTTAAATCCTACTTTGCTACCTTTGGTAAAAGTTATTTGGCCAGGTATGGTGGTTCAAGCCTGTAATCCCAGCAATTTTAGAGGTGAAGGGGATTGCCTGAGCCCACCTGTTCGAGAACAGCCTGGGCAACTTGGTGAGACCTCGTTTCTACAATAAATAAATAAATAAATTAGCCAGGCATAGTAGCCCACACCTGTAGTTCCTGCTACCTAAGGCTGAGGCAGAAGGATCGCCTGAGCCCAGTAGGTCAGTGCTGCAGAGCATGCCACTGTACTTCAGCATGGGTGACAGAGTGAGACTCCCACTCAACAACAACAACAACAAAAAAGGTTATGTGACTACTATGAGCTTCAGTATCACCTAAAACTAAGATTGCTTTAAGTAAAAAGAGACAAATAAAATAGTTGTAATTTGATAAGTGCTTACTATAGTACACACTTCATATATATTAACTCATTTAAATCTACATATACTACCAAAATCTCTCATATTTTATAAATGAGAAAAGTGAGGTTTAGATAGATCACATAGAAAACACTCAATAGCTGGATTCGGTGGCTCAGCCTGTAATCCCGCGCCTTTGGGAGGCTGAGGTGAGTGGATTGCCTGAGCCCACGGGTTCGAGACCCGCCTGGGCAGTGAGACCTCATCTCTACAATAAATCAAAAAATCAGCTGGGTGTGGTAGCGCATGCCTATAATTCCAGCTACTTGGAAGGCTGAGGCGGAAGGATTGCCGGAGCCCAGCAGGTTGAGGCTGTGGTGGCTGCGAGCGGCCACTGCACTTCAGTCTGGGTGACAGAGTGAGACACCAACTCAAAAAAAAAAAAAAAAAAAAAAAAAAAAAAAAAAAGAAAACACTCAATAAAAGACTTAATATGTGCATTCAGGTATTAATCAACACGTATGTTTTTAAAATGCATGTTCATCCATTACCTTTATTTACAGTTTTTAGTATTTTATTTTATTTTTGTTTTTTTTTTTGAGTTGGAGTCTCACTCTGTCGCCCAGACTGGAGTGCAGTGGCACGCTCCTGGCCACCGCAGCCTCAACCTGCTGGGCTCCGGTGATCCTTCCACCTCAGCCTTCCAAGTAGCTGGAACTACAGGCACGCACTACCACGCCCGGCTCATTTTGATTTTTTTATTGTAGAGATGAGGTCTCGCCAAGTTACCCAGGCGGGTCTTGAACCCGCGGGCTCAGGCAATTTTAAGCATTTTAATACATTGTTCACGAGAGTTCTATTTTGTAAGAGATAGTATTCTCCTTTTCTTTTTCATAACTTTTAGGAACCATTTGGCAAAAAGACTTCAGTGTTATTTTTTGAAGTTCCTCTTTTCAAGTCCTATCTTCTCCATTTAAAAAAAAGGCATTTATAACAAATTTTTTAAAAAGGTATTTAACCACAAGTGATGGCTCACACCTGTAATCACAGCACTTTGGGAAGCTGAAGCAAGAGGGTTGCTTGAGTACAGGAGTTCAAAACCGTGTCTCCTCAAAAAACAAAAAAATTAGCCAGACATGGTGGCATGTACCTGTAGTCCCAGCTACTCGGGAGACTGAATGGAAAGATAACCTGAACCCAGGAGGTTGATTGTGCCACTGCATGCCAGCCTGGGGCAACAGAGTGAGACCCCAACTAAAAAAAATATATATATATATCTATATATATATATACACACACACACACGTATGTATGTATTTATAATGATTTGTTAAAATCAAATTTATATTTTGTAATTTCAAAAATTTGCTTAGGTTTAAAAGACAGTAATGCTAAAATTTTCTCAAGTGTTCTTATCCAAAATCTCTTTAAGCAGAAATAAAAATGTGATTATCTTTTTTTTCCAAAATGCAAACACTATGACTCTGTTTATAAAACAAAGAATTTTTAAAATGTCAAATGTATATATATTATACATGCATTTACATAGTTATAGGATCATGAAAAAGAATTAAAGAATACATTTCAGGGGGAATGTGAGGGTAAACAAAACAAAAAAAAGAACACATTGCAGGTTGTTCCCATTGCTATTGGGGGAAGAGAGAAATAATTAGTTTGGAGCAGGTATGTCAAGGAAGGCATGTGAGGAAAGAAAAAAAGGACAAAATACTTACAGACTAAACGCTGCACAAGAACATATTTAAGACTAAGAATTTTACAACATTGTAGATCTGACAAAAGCCTAACATCTAGGATCTACAAGGAACTCAAACATGCCGAAAATAAAAAAACAAACAGCCCCATTACAAAGTGTGCAAAATATATGAATAGACAGTTCTCAAAAGAAGACATACAAGCAGTTAAAAGATACACGAAAAAATGCTCAGCCTCACTAGTCATCAAAGAAATGCAAATTAAAAACACACTGAGATACCACCTAACTCCTGTCAGGACGGCCTTCATCAATAACTCAAAAAACAATAGATGTTGGAGAGGATGTGTGAAAAAGGAACATTTCTATACTGTTCGTGGGAGGGTAGACTAGTACAGCCTCTGTGGAAAACAGTGTGGTAATTTCTAAAAGATCTAAAAATCGACCTCCCAACTGACCCCGCAGTCCCCCTACTGGGAATATACCCAGAAGAACTCAAATCACTCTATGAAAAAGATACCTGCACACACAAGTTTATTGCAGAATTATTCACAATAGCAAATATATGGACCCAATCATGCTACCCATCAAAAGAGGGCTGGATTAAAAAAAAATGTGGTACATATACATGATGGAATATTACACAGTCATAAAGAAGGACAAAATTATGAACTTTGCGGCAACTTGGATGGACTTAGAGGCTATAATACTGAGTGATCTATCACAGAAACAAAGAACTGAGTATCACATGTTCTCACTCATAAGTGAACCTTGAACAACTATCATAACACTAAAAAGAAGGGATTGGATTGGCAGTAGTGGGAAACTGCCAGGGGAAGGAGGACATACCTCATCAATAAGGTACATGCATAATGAACATTTGTATACCTAACCCTGACTTGTACCCTACATATTAAAAAAAATAAAATTCTACAACAAAGGTCCTGAAGAAACGGAACATTTCAGAATAAAAGGAATAGAACAAGTAGAATATATATACACAAAAAGGGTCTAGAACTATTATTCCCTTACAGCACACCAGTTAAGCGTTAGTATATATACTATAGGGTTGGCAAACTAGGGATGTACCAAAATCTACTGTCTAGCCTTTATATTTAGTTGTACATAAATGTTAGTGAATTATAATAGACTATCATTAAGAGGCAAAAAAATGAAAGAAAAATGCAATTATATTATAGGTTGGGATACGTTAGATGGAGAGAAAGAAGGCTCACTTTCTAGTCCTGGTTTTACTGCTAACTAGCAACATGGCACTGGATTAAATTATTCTCTCTCTGATCCTCCTTTTACTTGTCTGTAAAACAAGATAGACTAGAATTCAGTTTCCAAGATCCCTTCTAGTTCTGACATTCTGCAATCCTAGTCTATAAAATGCAATTACTGAAGAGAGTTGCTAGTTTTCTAAATCATATATTAATACCAAGAATTTAACAGAACTAAGAAAGCACCAAGCAAACCTGTGCCTGAAGTAGTCTCAGCTGTCTGTCTTGCTCTGTGAGGAACTGATATGCATCCGGAGATAGTCCCATCATCCCATTATCTGACTCAGTCTTTGGTGTGTGCATGCACACCGCACAAGGCTGGGGATTACATGAGTCCATATGTGAAGACAGTTTTGCCACAGGCGATGGTTCTACATTGCTGTGGGAAGAGCAACCGTCCATGTTGCCCTGAGGAGGTCTCAAGGCTATAGGACTACTTGAAGAATAGAATGTATTATGGTACAGAGCTGGACATCCATTTGGTTGAAATAATGAATGCTTCTGAAGGGCTTCAGACTGGATGTCTTGGATGGATCCAACTGTATTTATTCCTTGCCAAGAATGTACTGGGCTATATCGAATATGGCTATGATGATGACAACAACTGCAAACATTTGTGGAATAGTAAGATGGTGGTAGAGGAGTAGGTATCTGAAGTTCTATCGGTCTTCCTGAATTATGGGGTGAAAAAACAAAATTGGGTGGGGACTGTGGGGCAAGAGAAGACTGCTTAGAATTAAATGTGGACGGTCTTACAGGATACCCTTCTTTTTGTACATTTCCAGCAGAAACTGCTTGAAGTTTTTCAAATGTATCAGGAGATGCCCCATTATGAGAACATGGTTTAACACTGTTCCTGATATGAAGGTTCCCCTTCTTACAGGCAGATGGCTGTCTTACTTTGCAGTGTCTCAAAAGAGCAGTGTCCTGGCTTGACTGATTTGTTATCCCTCTTAAGGAAGGCTCTCTAGCTTCAGCTTCTAGGCTGTGTTTCTCATCATAAAGTTGGGATTGCAATGGCTTCAAATGTTCAGAGGGGTTAATCAACAAAGGAGGATTTTCATTATTTGTCATAGGGTTTGACCCTAGGAAATTGCCATCCAATACAAGTGAAAGTTCAGGAACTGATGGTTGGATCTTAGAAATCTATAAATAAAAGAGAAAAAAAGTATTTTTTAGGAGAAAGCTTTACTTTCCTTAGGCCAGTATTTTCCAAATTATATCTAATTACATATTAAAAAGTGTTCATTCTTTATTTATACCATAGGCATGTATTTTTCCGGATATCTTCTATGCGTTAGACACTAGGAGTACAATTGTGAGCAAAATAAACAAGGTCCTTGCCCTCAGAGAATATAACTAAACATTTTGCAAACTTATTTAATAATGGCATTCTTTTTTATTGGAACACTAACTAGCTCTACTTAGGTCACAGAACATAATATGAAAAACTGTTTTATACAACAGACTTTTTTCCCTTACCCTCTGCAAATATCACAGGCAGAATGTTTCAATAGATCTAGTAGCAAATGCTTATTTATCTTAATAAACTACCTTCCAATAAATATTTCAAAATATTTCTCTACTAAGTGAAGTTACTCACTGTTACTCCTTCTACTGACATCAACTAAAGGAGTTGGAGGAAAGTAGAAAAAAGTAAACAAACTACTTGCTGTGGTGAATTTGGTTATAATTAGATATTAATTTTTTAAAATCTTACCCATTTCTTTTTCTTCTAAAATAAGTTTAATTAGTTCAATTAAACTTCTAAAATAACCCACTGTTTGGTAGCAATAAAAAAATTATGACAGAGGTTATTAGCGATTAACCTCTGACAGTAAGTAGAATGTTTTTTCAGAATATGGTAATAAAAAACAACGTCAAGCTCTGGAGATAGTATATAATGTTGACTCTATACGGTTATTAAAAACTCCAGATTTAGCCAGGCGCAGTGGTTCATGCCTGTAACCCAGCACTTTGGGAGGCTGAGGCAAGAGGACTGCCTGAGCTCAAGGACGCAAGACCAGCACGGTGAGACCTCATCTCGACAATAAACCAAAAAATTAGCTGGGCATGGTGGCACACGCCTATAGTTCCACCTACTTGGGAGGCTGAGGCAGAAGGATCATCTGAGCCCAGCAGGTTGAGGCTGCGGTGGCCGTGAGCGTGCCACTGCACTCCAGCAGGGCAACAGAGTGAGACTCTGACTCAAAACAAAAAAACCCTACCAGATTCTAAAACCAAGCCTCCTGAATTAGAATCCCAGTTTTACTACTACTAGTGTGTGATCTTGGGCAGATAACTTAACCAAACTATGCCTCTATTTTCTCTGGGAATAGTAATTATAGGTACTTATTATGTACATGTTATATATATGTATATATATTATTATATATAATAACTATATGTTCCTATGAGGTATTTTTATTTCTATATAAAAATATAGCCATATAGATAGATAGGTCTTAGAATAAAACTTAAGTTTTAGGTAGTATTATTTAGTGCTTTAACACAAGACTTTTAGGTCTCTAACCACAAAGGTGAATTCATTATAAGATCAGTGATACCTTCTGACTCACTGGATGAGGACTAGGAACCGGTCTTGGAGAAAAATCTTCATCTTCAACACCAGAGTCCTGATCATTTATTGGTATTTTCCCAGGAGATAACTTTTGGGAAGACCTAAAGAATAGAAGGAGAGACAAAATAAACTTTCGGTAATCTAGTATTCTCTTTTTCTTCTTGAAATTGAATAAAGTCCTTTAATAAGTCACAATAGCATTTGGATAATTTAATTTAGTATCTGACAACCACATATTATTTTATTTTTCAGGCCAATGTTAGTTGACCAGGAAAATGGGGCTAGTCAGACTTAATAAATGAGCCCATTTGCCTAATCATGGCAAGTTTAACTTTGTACTGTTAATGTTACAATAACTCAATAGTCACTGGGCATCATCTGGTTGATCACTTTGAGGAATGCAGAAATAAACAAGACATAGAGATTGCTGTCAAAAAATTTATAAACTGGTAACAGAGATGTATACTCACTGTATTAAACATACTGCATTATACACCCACTGTATTAAAAAGGAAAACCAAACAAGGAATGACATTTTCCTATGTATTTATATCTGTGATGGGAAAATACTTTGAGACATCGAAGTACCCCTTTGAGTTTAGTAAGCCATAGTCATTGTATCAAAGAAGACATGCCTCAGCAGAACACAGAAAAAAATGTGAGTACCGGTACCAAGTTTCAAAAACCAAAGTAAGTGCTTAAGATGAAAGATTTGGAATACCATATGCATCAGGCTTTTTCACATCCTAAACTAGACAAAGTCTCACTAGAAGACATTAGGGAAAAGAAAAGACAAGCCAGAATGGAGCTAAGAGCGCTTAGAATTAAAGGGGTCTCCAACCATGTTGCCCATTGAAACTGGACTAGATTTAAAAAATGTGGTACATATACACAATGGAATATTATGCAGCCACAAAGAAGGACAAATATATGGACTTTGCAGCAACTTGGATGGATTTGAAGTCAATCATACTCAGTGATTTATCACAGAAACAAAGAACAGAGTTCCATATGTTCTCATTCATAAGCTGACCCTGAACAATTATAATGCTATAAGAAAGCGACTGGCAGTAGTGGAAAACTGTCAGGGGAGTAGGGGGTGGGACTGGCAGTTGAGGGAAACTGCTAGGGGAGGGAGGGGCATACCTTGTCAACAAGGGTACCTGCATGATCAATGTTTATATACCTAACCCTAAATTTTTTTTTTTTAATTAAAAAAAAAAAAAAAGAATTAAAGGGGTCTCTAAGAAAGCATCCTGCATTCTGTCCCATGCAGAAAGAACAACAGAAACCCCAAAGTAGACTTGAAGATCTGACTACAGAGTGGATCTCTGCCCCAAACCTTGGTAGTCTGGAGAGGCAGACAGTTTTTTCTGTGCATAGTATAGCAATGAAGCAATGAGAATGTCTGCATGGTGTGTTTAAAGTAGATAGGTCTGCACCAATACTACAAAGCTATCCCCTGACACCCGAGAGAGAGAGAGAGAAAGTCAGTGACCTGAGTTGAGTGAAAGGAGTACAGTAGGAACCTGCAAAAACCTGCCAAAGACCAGATGCAAATGAAAACACCTCAGCAGATAGCAGCACAAATGGATGGTAATCATGTCACCCCATTTCATCAATATTGGCACACCATTAGTCCTCGCTACATTACATATAACCCCAGAGGAAAGGGAATGAGAAGACCGTGAATTGACAAAAGTTTGGTTTCTATAATCCAGTAGAATGAATAGGGGCTCAAAATGCATACTAAGTTCAACTACTAAAACATTACTTTGGTACAAGTGAATTGGGCATGGAATAAACGTTTGCTACATACTTGTGATAAATGCATAATTGCTAGCATTGAGCAATAAAATCAAGTCCTTAGCTTTTTGAGCAACCAAGGCAAAAGGAAAAACTTGTATTTTGAATAGTTAAAACACCAGTTCTTTAAGACAGACAAACATTTTGCTAAAATCTAAAATGACTGTTCCTTAGTAAACCTGGTCAGAGTTGAAAATAGACAAGGTTTTTAACAACATTTTTAAAGAAATTGCAAATGTCTCCTGAATTTGGCTTTTTCTTCTATAACTATTCAATAAAAATGTCTTAAAATGTGAGATGGTAAAGGTGTTCCTGCAATACTGCAAGAATGTATTTTTTCTAGTTACCTAACTTGTTGCAAGGATACTTAAAATGCCCAGAGAAGATGGAAAGAGAATACCTCCAGAATGGTAAGATAATAAATTTGTGCTGTTTTAAGCCACTATGTGGTAATTTGTTATGGCAGTAATAGAAAATTAATACAGATATAGTCATAATTCCCATTTTACAAATGAGATGTTTAGAACCAGGACTTGAACACAGATATGTTTAATATCATAACCTGAACTTATAACTGTTTTGTTATGCAGTTTCTATAAATAGCTGGCATGTATTTATAACTTTTATCAGTTAATTTCCACCTAAAGAATCAACTGTTAAGAAAAGATGAACAGACCAGACACAGTGGCTCAAGCCTGTAATCCCAGCATTTTGGGAGGCCGAAGCAAGAGGATTGCCTGAGCCCAGAGGTTCAAGACCAGCCTGGGCAACTTGGTGAGAACTCATCTCTACAATAAATCAAAAAATTAGGCCCAGCTGGGGCTTCTCAACCTGTAATCCCAGCATTTTGGGAGGCTGAAGCAAGGGGAGTCCGCGGGTTCAAGCCTGGGCAACCTGGCGAGACCTTGTCTCTACAATAAATCAAAAATTAGCAGGGCACAGTAGCACGTTTACTGTGGAAGGCTGAGGCAGAAGGATTACTGGCTACTTGGAAGGCTGAGGCAGAAGGATTGCCAAAGTTCAGCAGGTCGATGCTGGGGTGGCCATGAGCGTGTGTGCCACTGCACTCCAGTCTGGGTGACAGAGTGAGGCTATAACTAAAAAATAAATAAATAAATTAGCCAGGTATGGTGGTGTGCGCCTGTAGTTCCAGCTACTATGAAGGCTGAAGTGCAAGGATCGCCTAAGCCCAGCGGTTCGAGGCTGCGGTGGCCGTGAGAGCTTTCGTGCTACTGCACTCCAGTCTGGGCGACAGAGTGAGACTCCTACTCAAAAAAGAAAAAAAAAATTCTCCAAGTATATTTAAAGTTTTAAAACAGAGCCCTGAGTTTGGCCTGCCTGAGGTGGGGGTGACACGTGGAAGGGGCGTCACGAGTGGTATCCAGGCTGCAGGCCGGGGCGGGCTCTGGGCACTCCCGCGACAGGCGCTGGCTGGGTACCTGAGGCTGCTGCAGCTCTACCCGCTGCTCAACAAGACAGTCACCAGTGGCATCTTGTCAGCACTTGGGACCTTCCTGGCCCAGATGATTGAGAAGAAGCTGAAAAAAGAAAATTCTCAAAATCTAGATGCCAGGGGACCTCTCAGATATGTCACCCTTGGGCTTTTATTTTCTTTTTTTTTGAGTTGGAGTCTCACTCTGTCATCCAGACTGGAGTGCAGTGGCCGCTCCCGGTCACCACAGCCTCGACCTGCTGGGCTCCGGCGATCCTTCCGCCTCAGCCTTCCGAGTAGCCAGAACTACAGACGTGCGCTACCATGCCCGGCTAATTTTTGATTTATTGCAGAGATGTGGTCTCGCCAAGTTGCCCAGGCGGGTCTCGAACCCGTGGGCTCAGGCAATCCACTCACCTCAGCCTCCCAAGGCGCGGGATTACAGGCTGAGCCACCGAGCCTGGCACTTTTGGGCTTTTCTACACAGGGCCACTGAGCCACCACTTCTACCTATTCTATGAACGCTGGTCCCTCCTGCAGTCCTCTTGGTAGGGCTCAAGAGGCTCCTCCTGGACCGCCTACCCTTTGCACCGCCCTTCCTGTTGTTCTTCCTCACCATGAACTTTCTGGAGGGGAAAGACGCCTCAGCCCTCGTTGCCAAGATGAAGTGGGGTTTCTGGCGGGCACTGAGGATGAACTGGAGGGTCTGGATGTCTGTGCAGTTCCTCAGCATCAACTACGTCCCTGTCCAGTTGCGGGTGCTTTTTGCCAACCTAGTGGCTCTGTTCTGGTATGCCTACCTGACCTCTCTGGGGAAGTGAAGACAGCCTGGGAGAACAACAGACGCTCTGTGGACCTGGGTCAGGGGATCCTCACCCACCAGAGTGAGAGCAAAACCAGCCCAGTCAGGGTATCATCGGACTCTAAATTACCACCAAGATCAATTTCTTAACACCTCATGAGATTATTTTTAAATCTGCTTTATAAACAAGTACTTGGCCTTAAAAACCAAGAGTATTATAGGTTTACTGAAAAAATCATAATTAATATAAAAATATTCACTATTGACAAGGGTTGTGGGAAAGGCAAGGACTATAAAGATGCTCTTCTGTATCTTCCTGCTGCTTCTGAGTTATGAATTCATGTGATTACTGAATTGACAGTGGTGGGGTTAACTTAACTTAGTCAATTTCCCAATGAAATCATGATTCAAGATGCCATCAAATGATGGATGGAGAAATAGAAATCTCTTAATGTCAGAATCTTGTGTGTTTTTTTTTTTTGAGTTGGAGTCTCACTCTATCGCCCAGACTGGAGTGCAGTGGCCGCTCCTGGCCACCGCAGCCTCAACCTGCTGGGCTCCAGCGATCTTTCCGCCTCAGCCTTCCAAGTAGCCGGAATTACAGGCATGTGCTACCACGCCCGACTGATTTTTTTATTTATTGTAGAGATGAGGTCTCGCTGCCCAGGCGGGTCTCGAACACGCAGGCTCAGGTAATCCACTCACCTCAGCCTCCCAAAGGCACGGGATTACAGGCTGAGCCACTGAGCCCGGCCAGAATCTCGTGTTTTAAAAGGCAGTACCTGACTTCAGCTTGTGCTGCCCTAGAAACGTAAAATACACTTGTCACCTTGGACTGAATAGGATCACAATAAACTATAATGTAGCTCCAAAAAAAAAAGTTTTAAAACAAACTTTTTTTGTTTGTTTTAGGTAGAGGAGTTATTTTTATAGTAGTTTATCTGATAGGTCCACGTTTAAAACTACAAGGAAGGGAAGAACAAACAGAAGCCACTAAACAAAAACAGGATGCTTCTTCCTAAGTAAGATAATTTCTTGACAAGTGCCTTTTTATTTTTTTCTATATAACAAATCAGCTCAAATGAAAACCTCATCAGAGCTGTCATTTCATTAAAATTACCACTCAACTTCCTAGAGAATATGAAAGCATGCATTTAAAGCAAAGATACCTATGGTACATATGATTTACAAATAATTTCATCAGAAATAATTGGAGTTATTTTAATTACTCATCAAAAACTAGTAAATGAAATTTTAAAAGGTACACATAATAATAAAATATCTTTTACCTTTTAGTTGAAAGATTCTTGGAAACCTTGTTGAAAGACTCTGTTTCTGCATTTTGGTTTTCAGCACTCAGTTCAAAATGGACTGAATTTTTGTCAGAAGGTTCAACATTCTGAAATGAAGGAGATCATACCTTGAAATCTAACGTATAGATCTAACCAGAAAATCCTGTTTAAATGAAAAGTTGCTCTAAAGCAGTGCATACTAGTGTGCATCTATAGTCCCAGCCATTAGGGAGGCTGAGGTGAGAGTGTTGCTCAAGTCCAGGAGTTTGAGGCTCCTGTGAGCTATGGTCATATCACCACTGCACTGCAACCTAGGTGACAGAGAGGGACCTTGTTGAAAAGAAAAAAAGGAAAGGAAAAGAAAAAAGGAAAGGAAAGGAAAGGAAAGGAAGCTAACTCACTCTGAAATACCAAAGGGGAGTCCGAGATTTCAAATTTCTATAATTGCAAACTTCCTTTATAAACTGTTCAATTTCCTGCTACATAAGTGAACGTATAATCACCTGTATTATAACCAGGGCCTCAGTGACTATATGAACTGAGGATACTATCTAAAGAATAAAATGATAGGCTAGTCACAGTGGCTCATGCCTATAATCCTAGCACTTTGGGAGGCTTAGGCAGGAAGAATACTTGAGCTCAGGAGTTCAAGACCAGCCTGGGCAACATAGTGAGACCCAATCTCTATTTTAAAAAAATCAACAGATTAGCCAGGCATTGTGGTGCATGACTGTAGTCCTAGCTAATAGAGAGGCTGAAGTGGGAGAATTGCTTGAGCCCAGGAGTTTGAGGCTGTGGTGAGCTATGATTGTGCACCCTGGATGACAAAGTGAGGCCTCGACTCAAAAAAAAAAAAAAAAAAAAAACCAAAGAAAGGATAAATTACATATGTCTCTAAAATAGAAATAAATTAAATGATTAGATCTCAGTTTCAGTAAGGTAATTATGTTTATAATTAATATATGAAAACTTGCTTTATGAGCTGATATAACCTACAAATAAACTCAAAGAAGGTACAAATAAGGTCTGAGTGGAAATAAAGAATATACTTTAGCCAGGCATGGCTGCTCACGCCTGTAATCCCAGGACTGTGGGAGGAGGAGGCAAGAGGACGGCCAGAACCCACTGTTTCAAGATCAGTCTGAGCAACCTCATCTCTACAATAAATCCAAAAATTAGCCGGGCATGGAGGCACATGCCAGTAGTTCCAGCTACTTGGAAGGCTGAGGCAGAAGGATCACCTGAGACCAGCAAGTCGAGGCTGAGGTGGCCGGGAGCAGTCACTGCACTCCAGCCTGGGCGACAGTAAGACTCCAACTCAAAAAAAAAAAAAAAAGAAAAGTGGTCTTTGAATGTTTTTATATAACGACACCTGTAGTTTCAAAGACCTACTTTTTCTGTAATCACCTAGATGCAGTTTTAAGTATTTTTTTAGAGATAGCAATCTATTCTGATTCCTTGGATTATATTATATAAATATGGACCTTTTAAGTTTGAAAAAACTCTTGTAATTCTCATATATTTTTAAAATAACACAGTCGACCATTGTTTTGTTAAACTATGGTGTGTTCACATGGCTCTTTGAGCTATGTCCATCATGTTTTCTAGCATTGGTCCCCTCCCCTACCCTGGGGAGATGAATCTCCTCTCTCTCTCTCTCATTTACTTTCTAAATAAACTGTATTTTCTGATTTAAAAAAATAAAATAAAATGACACAGGCTAAAAAAAACTGAGATCACAAAATTTACCCTCAAAACTATAAATGATACAACATATAAATTACTGATATATTCTTCAAAGACTTTAAGAAAATACGAGCAAGTTATTCTGTGGCTAAACTATGATTCTCTACTATAATTTGGCTCTGGAGATATGGTCTAAGATTTAATAAACAAAATTAACCATAAATGAGTAACGTTAATATACAATAAGATTATTTGGAGTAAACACAGGCTGGTAGTTTGAATACTGTTTTAAAGGGTAAAAGTCACTGGGTTTAAACTGTCAAAATGCAACCTTAAACAGTTATTAATGTACTAGGTAATCAAATCACTTACTTTGAAAAGATGTAAAGTTTCTTTACTGGTTAGAAACTGAAATCGAAGGTCAGGTGTCTTCCCATCACAAGGGAGGCATTCATAAAACTCAGGTTCCTTATGTGTCACAGAATAGAGAACTATAATGAAATTTCCAGATTCTGAAAAAACTCTGGACAAAAAAATGGTATTTAGTTAAAATTATGTGAAGATAACAACAGTTAAAGAATTCCAGGTGAGTCTCCTAATCTAGTTAACAGATTGACTAAGAGTCTTTTAGAAGAAAAGTGGGTGCCAGGCTCTGTGGTTCAGCCTGTAATCCTGCGCCTTTGGGAGGCTGAGGTGAGTGGATTGCCTAAGCCCGCAGGTTCGAGACCTGCCTGGGCAGCGAGACCTCATCTCTACAATAAATCAAAAAAATCAGTCGGGCATGGTAGCGCATGCCTGTAAGTCCGGCTATTTGGAAGGCTGAGGCGGAAGGATCGCCAAAGCCCAGCAGGTCGAGGCTGCAATGGCCGGGAGCGGCCACTGCACTCCAGTCTGGACGACAGAGTGAGACTCCAACTCAAAAAAAAAAAAAAAGAAAAGTAGGGAACAAATTTATGCCCCTTTTTAAAGTAAGTACACTCTCTAGTTTAGTGTATACACCTCCAGAATTTTTCCTAAGGCATAAACAAATATTTTATAGAATTTAACAAAAATGGGGCCACACTATTTGTAACCATTATCTTTTTATGACAACCTATCTTTTATCTCTTTCTATGTTACTATTCTATAATACCTCAGACCTCCATATTCTTTTTTAGTGACTACCTGTTATTACATTTTATAGACGTGCCATTCTTGATTCACCTAGACTACAAAAAAATGGATATTTAAGTTATTTATACTATGTCACTATTTTAAGAACTGGTAAAATAAATATTAATTTTATTATACACTAAGCGATTCAACAAATATTTGTAAAGTTATCAAGACTCCTTAAATATAAAACCAACTTTTTTTTGTCTTATTTTCTTCTTGTCACTGACTTGAAGCTCACATTAAAAACAACTATCAGGCCGGGCTCAGTGGTTCAGCCTATAATTCCAGTACTTTGGGAGGCTGAGGCAAGTGGATTGCCTGAGCTCATGGGTTTGAGACCAGCTCAGTCAACTTGGCGAGACCTCGTCTCTACAATAAATCAAAAAATTAGCCAGGCATGATGGCACGTGCCTGTAGTTCCAGCCACTTGGAAGGCTGAGGCGGAAGGATCATCTGAGCCCAGCAGGTTGAGGCTGTGGTGGCCGTGAGCGTGCCACTATACTCCAGCCTGGGTGACAGAATGAGACTCCGACTCAAACATAAAAAATCAAAACAAACATAAAAACAACTATCTAAAAATATTTTTAGTATTTCTCTACTTTGTCAAATGTTGAATCAGGCTCGGTGCAGTGGCTCAGGCCTGTAATCCCAGCACTTTGGGAGGCAGAGGCAAGAGAGAATTGTCTGAGCCATGGGTTTGAGACCATCCTAGGACACACAGCAAGACTTTGTCTCTATAATAAATCAAAAAACTAGCTCTGCATAATGGTACATGCCTATAGTTTCATCTTCTTGGAAGGCTGAGGTGGAAGGATTGCCTGAGCCCAGCAAGTTGAGGCTGCAGTGACTGTGAGCATATCACTGGAGTCTATCTAGCCTGGGCAGCAGAGTGAGACTCTGACTCAAAAAACAAAATAAAAATAAAAAATAAAATAATGAATGAGAAATAATTTGAGGGTGTGTCACACTACCAACAAACAAAGCAGTAGAGGACGGAGAGGCAGAATGCCTGCTCTGCTCAATTCCTCTCCCTGGGGCTCAGAATGCTTAAAGTACCAACCTAAGTTATAGCAATAATTAGAGTACTAGAATCAGAGATACTGCCTAATGCTTCAGAATGAACACAGAATAAGAAAAAGCTTCAAAACTAACTTTACTGAGCATTAAAAAATGAAAATAAAATTTTTTTCTGTCAGGGTCTTACACTGTAACCACAGCCTCCACCTGCTGGATTCAGGTGATCCTTCTGCTTCAGTCTCCTGAGTAGCAGGACTACACTCATGCTATCACACCTGGCTAATTTTTTCTTTAGATCTTGCTATGTTGCCAAGGCTGGGCTCATGCAATCCTTCCGCCTCAGTCTCCCAAAGTGCTGGGATTACTGGAGTGAACCACAGTGCCCAGCCAGCATTTATTGTCTATGCAAACTTAAAGCAAGATCAGTATTGATAATAAAACTTAATTATACTTAATCATAGCAAAGAGTCAAAAACTGACATGTTTTCCAAATAAAAGTAGTTATCTTGAAAAGTTGATATAAAAATGCAAAGAATAGAACTATAAAACCATTTGAAGAAAACACAAAAGAGTTTTGTTTGTTTTTTTGGGTTTTTTTTTAGTTGGAGTCTCACTCCATTGCCCAGGCTGGAGTGCAGTGGCACGCTCACAGCTACCCCAGCGTCAACCTGAAGGGCTCAGGTAATCCTTCCGCCTCAGCCATCCAAGTAGCCGGAACTATAGGCACATGCTACCATGCCCGGATAATTTTTTGATTTATTGCAGAGATGAGGTCTTGTCAAGTTGCCCAGGCTGTTCTTGAACCCGTGGTCTCAGGCAATCCCCTCACCTCAGCCTCCCAAAGTGCTGGGATTACAGACTTGACCTACTGCACCCGGCCAGTGTTTTTATTTCAGTAAATACTCCTGTGGCTGCTGCCATGTTTCCTGGCTCTGACCCCCTCCCCTACCTTGGGGAGGTGAATCTCCTCTTTCTCTCTCTCTCTCATTTACTTTCTAAATAAACAATATTTTCTAATCTATAAATAAGTAAATACTCCTGGAGTGGGCAAATCTTTCTCAAGCAAGATAAAAATTGTTGATACACACACACACACACACACACACACACACACACACACACACACACGTATAAATATATATTTATCTATGTATTTTATATTAGAGAGAGAGAGAGAGAGAGAGAGTGCATGCATTTGCGTGAGAAAGCTAGCTCTTACAAAGCAATATGGAAAAGTTGCACAGTCAGAGAGAGAGAGAGAGAGAGAGAGAGAAATGTGCACATGCATTTGCGTGAGCAAGCTAGCTCTTACAAAGCAATATGGAAAAGTTGCACAATCCAAGAGAAAAATGGCAAAAGACATGAACAGGCAGTTCCCAGAAAACGAGGTTATAAAACATTGGAAAAAACTATTTTTCATCTACCAGATCAGCAAAATTCAAAAGTTTAACAGCAGTCTTCCACTTAAGTCTCGGTGCTCATCTCCTGCTGCTCTACCCTTCCCTTATTCCTCTTTAGCCACACTGGCCTCCTTGCTGTTCCTTGTAGACGCACCCAGGACCCTTGCACTTAACATAGCCTTAACATAGTCCTTTAATACAAGTTTTGATTTTTCTTAATGTACATCTTTATAAAAGGTTAAGATATTACATGAGTTTTAAATGAGACCGATAAACTATAGATGGGGGGAAAGATAAAAATAAAATACTATAGAATAAAATATCACTTGCCTTTCTTGAACAGAAGAATTGAACATGTATCTCAAGCAGCAAGCCCATACCTGAGGACTATAAATATGTATAATTCCAGACAGCCAACTAAAAGAAAAAAACAGAAATTAAAAACATAGTCATTTACAAACTAATATATTTTAGATTACATTATTCTCAAGGTAATAAGGTAGATTCTTGGTATTTACCAGCAATACATTAAAAGGCCTTTATCAATAAGAAATCTATAAACACACTGATAATTAAGAAGGAAAATATGGCAGGGCACAGTGGTTCACACCTATAATCCCAGCACTTTGAAAGGCCAAGGTGAGAGGATTGCCTGAGCCTACGGGTTTGAGACCAGCCTGGGCAACTTGGCAAAACCACACCTGGCTAAGAAATAAAAAACTCAGCCAGGTGTAGTGGCATGTGCCTATAATTCCAGCTACTTGGAAGGCTGAGGCAGAAGGATCACCTGAGCTGCAGTGGCTGTGAGATGATCATTGCACTTCGGCCTGGGTGAGAGTGGACCTCCAGCCCCCCACCCCCAAAAAAGGAGAATACATAGATATCTCTATCTATATAATTACCTCTGTACAGCTATACATACTTCATATAATACAGATATATATCTAGAGAAAGAGAGAGAGAAAGAGAGAACAAGTATACAGGTCTCTCTGCCCTCTTCCACCTGAGATGTGGGACCAAAAATGGTTAATAGAAGTAAAAGTAGAATGCTAGGATAAATTAGTTTGGACAGGAAAGAATGAGCTGAACTAAGGGAGACTAAAGTTTGCACCCTAAAACTACGTTACAGTTGTTAAGGATTAAATGTTGTAATATATATAGGTAGCCCGAAACTCAGAAGCCTCTTAATAAATATTCACTTAGACATCAATAACCCACTACCAATACCAGGACCACAGCAAACAGACTGTAAGTAGATTTCATGATACAGAGAACATTTGTGCATTCTCATTAACTTTGCACGTGCAATTCCCTCACATGGGCTCCCTTGTCCATCAATCCTCCCTTCTGCTATCCAAATAATTAAAGGTCTAACTCAAGTTTGCCCTCTCTAAGAAAATGCCTCCTAGCATGTCTTTCTCACAAACAGTCATTGTCTATTCTGCTCATTTCATAGTAAATTATATACTTAATTTTTCTATGTGTAGATATTTGAATATTTCATCACCTCACTTTGATTATAAATTCCTTGAAAAGGAGTTTTAAAACTTAACAAATGGCTGGGCACAGTGGCTCACAGTTATACTCTCAGCACTTTAGGAGGCCAAGGCAGGAGGACTGCTTGAGACCAGGAGTTTGAAACCAGCCTGGGCAACAAAGCAAGACCTCATCTCCACAAAAAAAAATTAAAAAAAATAAAACCTCAATACAGCCTCAAACATAATACTTTATATATGATAAGCAATCAATAAATACTTAAATGAATATAAATTTCTGAATAATCTGTCTAAATATCATTAATCACTGACTCTAAAAATAAAGCTGTTAACACTAAAGGGGATTTTGCAAGACTGCCTGGCAGTAGATTTTAAACAGTGTTATTTTGAGCCCTGGGTCTTTACAAAAGGTAGTAAAAGAAGAAGGTTGAAGAAACAGGGCTCTAAGGCTTCAACTTCAACTAGAAAAGTTAAGCTTTTATCTGTTTTCTACATTAGGATTCTTCCTAAGATTGGGCGAAAGCTTATTTTAGCTGATTCTGCACTTAAAAATAAGAAAGCTTAGTAATCAGTAGCCTTTTGTGGCTTTGTAAAATGATCTAAATATTCACAATATAACTGATTCACATGCTTGTCATATACATTTGAATATATTTGGCTAATATGGTTTTCATAAGTAATGCAACACTTACATTCCCACTAAAGGTAGAGAATAAACCTTGGGATCAGATTCCAGCAAAAGTAACAATTTGCGTGTTTCATCCATGGTAAGATATCTAAATAGAAGACATTCATGTAAAAATAATTGGAAGAATGTACTTTTTACCTAAAAGAGATAACCTGAGTATTAAAGCATATCTTAGGGGATATGATTCAAATGAACATTGTCTCACACATACATGCACACAGAAAAAAACAGCTCAAACTGTTTAATGTGATAAAGAAAGACTCTGGTAAAAGGAAGAGATTAAAGAGATTTAATATGCTAAAACTTCTACTACCTATTAAAATGGTCATTGAAGATTACATACCTTTTTACAAAGTTTTGCTCTGTAATGTCACTTACAACTTACTTTAATCCAAAGTGTTAACATTAAGGTAGACAATCAGAACCAAATAGGTTTCCCTGAGAGAAGTGAATTTCCTGCTATTGGAAGTGTTCAAGCATCTAAGCGATTTGACAAGATTGCAACTGATATGACTTCTAACTGAAGGAGGCAGAATTAGAGAGATATAATTAATCCTCCATGTATGTTATTCCTTCAACCATAGTCAGAGAACTTTGGAACCATCATGATAAAACCCCAAAGTTCAATTTTCCCTACAAGGACATTATACTACATCTACACTTGTTATTATATTTATTATTGACAGTAAGTTTTAAGAATACAAAACACATCAGCACAGTGGCTCATGCCTGTAATCCCAGCACTTTGAAAGGCTGAGATGAGAGGATTGCCTGAGGCTACGGGTTCGAGACTAGCCTGAGCAACATGGCAAGACCTCATCTCTACAATAAATCAAAAAAGTAGCCAGGCATGGTGACACGCACCTATAGTTCCAGCTGCTTGAAAGGCTGAAGTGGAAGGATTGTCTGAACCCACCAGGTAAAGGCTGCGGTGGCCATGAGTATGCCACTGCACTCCAGCCCGGGCGACAAAGTGAGACTCCAAAAAAAAAAAAAAAAACCCAAAACACAATGCAGAATTGAGTTAATCCTATTGTCTTTAAATTAAAGAAACAAAAACAGTGCTATTAGTAATATAAAGTCTTGATCTTACTACTGATGATATATTTTGTTGCTACAATGAACCTAAAACACAAAGATAATCAATTTTACCAGGCTTGTGACAAGAAGATTAAGCCTGAGTTGGCATAAGATTTATGAATCAACAATAACATTTACACTTTCTTTGAAAGCTCTCCCCCTGCTTTAGCCACCTGATATAAATTCCTATCCCTTAAGATAATTAGTTCAGACTTTCCATGATTTTCCCAGCAATTTGGACACACCTTCCTGCTTTCCCAGCACTGTATATGAACCTCCATTATAGGCAGCACATCATGTTTAGATGCAACATACTAACAGATGATTAGGGTTTTTTTATCTATTTATTTCCAGGGACTAACAAATTTTTTTTTTTAAGAAACGTAGTCTCACTATGATGCCCCAACTGGAGTACAGTGGCTACCCAAAGATATAATTACAACACACAATAGCCTCGAATTCCTAGACTCAAGTCATCTTTCTGCCTCAGTCCCCTGAGTAGGATTGCAGGTACATGCCACCGCACTTGGCATGGCAAATGTCACAAACTTAATAGATAATTCTAGATAGGATGGGGCAAGGGGAATAGGTGATTGGATAGAATACTGAAAATTCTAGTTATTGTTAGCATGCTAAGGGTCACAGATGTATAATTCAAAGAAAAGTAAATGCATGCTGCACAAATAAATGGGCAGGCACAAGTACTTAGAAAAGTACAAATTAATTTTTTGGTTAAACAAAGAATCCCATGCCCCAGTTGAAAATTATTTTATTATACCAAGAGAATTAAATGTTTCATTTAATTCAAACATTTTTTTAAATCACTATGACTTTTGACCACTGTATTATTTTGGAATATACCAACACTTTTTTCCTTGGGGCACTCTAATCAGAAAGCACCACTCGGGTAGAATCTGGTTCTGAAAACACATTTTCAGAGACTAAGACTTGGAGTTAATGCACTTTGGTAAACATTTTCAGCTCTAAAGACCTAACAGGAATTAGGGTGGAGTCAGTGGAAAAGGAAGCCGGAAGTGTAATGCTTAGTTAGAACTGCCTCTGGTCAACTTTAAAGCAGAGGGTCTTATATTGTCTAACCTATTTTAGTATATAACAGATAAAGAAAATAGATGAAGATTCGGGGAAGCAGCCCTGCTAAGCATTAGAAAGCCCTGCTGAGGATTAGAAAGAATACATCTTACATTTCCTAAGAAACTAAGAATGGTGACAGGAGACGGGAAAGAATTCTGTTGTAAGGAAATTCCACCCTCAAATAGTTGATAATTTGGTAAGAAAGAGTACTATAAATTTTTATTTAATTATTCCCTTTCTCTATCCATAATGGTCACTATTCACAGATAAAACTGCATATTATAAATAAATTATCCAATCTCTCTTAAGCTCACAATTAGCCAGATTATAGCTAAGGAAAAAATAAAAAGCAAGGTGTGGTGGCTTACCCCTCTAATCCCAGCACTTTGGGAGCCTGAGGCAGGAGGATTGCTTGAGGCTAGGAGTTGGAAACTAGCCTGAGCAATATAGCGAGACCTCATCTCTACAAAAAAAAATTTTTAAAGAATAGTAGAGCAGGATAGTGTGCACCTACAGTCCCAGTTACTCAGGAGGCTGAGGTGGGAGGATTGCTTAACCCCAGGAGTTTGAGGCTGCAGTGAGCTATGATAGTGTCACTGCACTCTAGCCTGAGTGACAGAGTAAGATCCTGTCTTAAAAAAAAAGATGACCTAAAACCTAGGCAAATTATAAAGGGCAAAATAATATAAAAATAACTTCTCCTTACATTTTCAAATTATAAATTATCAACTAATTTTTTTTTTGGAAGCAGGTTTTATTGAGAGGACAGAAAAGCTCCCACAGTGGGGGAGATCTGAAGGGGTTGCCCTTTTTTTTTTTCCCAACCAATCTTAAAATACTATTTTTACCATCAATTTTTGTGGATGGTGGCACAATTCTGAAAGAAAACTTCCCTTTTTTACTTTCCCTGGTTATTGATCAAGCCACTGTATCTCTGGCAAGTAAACTGAAAACATAAGTATTTCACATATGTGGACATCCTGAAAACATACTAATGCAACCAGTATTTAAAATTTTACACTAACGTATCTTTTACTTACCCATATTTATAAGTCCCTTGAACTTGAGAAATATTCAGATTACTACTCAAGTTTCTTGCAAGAGCTGTAGGGATAATGGCGATAGGCTTCACAGGTGCGCATTTAAAGTTATTTGCTAGAGTTACTGCTGCCCAATGCAAATCAAAATTCACACTGTCCAAACTCTCCCTGGAAGTGATATGAACTCTTAGGGAAAGCAGCTTACCACAATCCAGGGAATCTTTGCTACATACGTGGTAGTGTAGAGCCTGAGGAATCAATATTAAATATTTTAAAACATTGAAATGTGTTCATATTTCTAGAATTAATTTTATATTGGTACATATACACATATAATATCTTGTGCTAACAAAATTAAATTAGTTCTGATTTACAACATTTCAGTTCTCATTTCTTCCATGTGACCAAAAGATAACATGAATAATGATAGCAAAGCAAGTAAGATTTACTGTCCTAAGCTCCACCACACATTTTCAACTTAGATGTCCTTGCAACACTTCAAAATCTTATTGGGGAATGTCATCCCCAATAAATATTTACTACATGGAAAAATATGGACATAAAATAATTCTGATTCAGCCTCAGAGAATCTAAAGACCATTCCTCTTTGATTCCTTTCTTGTTATCACAAATTATCAAGTTAGTTCTTCCTCTGTATTTGCTAATGCCCACTGTGTCCCACCTAGTTTCACTGCCACCACCTGACTACAGAATAATATATCCCTCTCTAATACATATCCACCCAACTACTGCAATGGCTATTCCCTCTGACCTCAGTCAGCCTGCCCTATCAGATTTATTCTATTCTTTTTTAAAAAAATAAATAAATAAACAAGGTCTCACTGTGTTGTCCAGGTTGGTCTCAAGCAGTCCTCCTGTCTCAACCTCCCAAAGTGCTAGGACTGTGCTTGGCCATATTAATTTACTTATGATTTGACAATGTTTCATCTTTTCAGAAGCCTTCAATGACTACGTGGCCCATGTGACAAAGTTCAAATTCTTTTTTTTTTTTTTTTTTTGAGTTGGAGTCTCACTCTGTCACCCAGACTGGAGTGCAGTGGCTGCTCCTGGCCACCGCAGCCTCGACCTGCTGGGTTCCGGCGATCCTTCCGCCTCAGTCTTCCAAGTAGCTGGAACTACAGGCGCATGCTACCACGCCCGGCTATTTTTTTTTTTTTTATTGTAGAGACGAGGTCTTGCCAAGTTGCCCAGGTGGGTCTTGAACCCGCGGGCTCAGGCAATCCACTCACCTCAGCCTCCCAAAGGTGCGGGATTACATGCTGAGTCAATGAGCCCAGCTTCAAAGTTCAAATTCTTTAGCCTGGTAGACAAGGGTCTCTATAATCTGACCAAACTAATACTCTAATCTGATCACCACACAAATCCTGCAAAAAACCTACACCTTTAACACTAATCTGAGTATATCCTGAACTTTCCGATTTTTGTCACACTGCTTCCTCTTCTAGAATGTACCTTTATCACTTGTCTAAGATTTTTACCCTGAGAAATCACATTTAACTAATCTTAAGTCCACAATAATTCAATCAAATCATGACTACTTCTCAAATATGGGTTAATTAAAATACTCGTACAACACACTAAACATAGTTGATTCTTGTGCTGAATTAAGAATAATCAAATTTTATCAGTGATGCTTACCTTAAAAGTTGAACTGAAGTCATCTGCATTGTGAACTATCATTTCTCTTGAATAAACTCCCTGGGTATGAACTTTGCATGGAATCAAAAAGTCCCCAGGAAGAAAAGCAGTAGGTGTTATTTCTAAGCATTCAGGTACTTCTCGACCAGGATCAAAGCGATCCACTATCAATGTCACACCTTCTTCATCTGAAGAACAAAGACAATAGCTATTATATAGCATGCTAATTAAAAACACAAAATCAACCAAGCAAGGTTACCTTATAGAAAAGTACTTTGTCATATCAATTGTAAACTAAACTGTTACTTTAAAAAAAGACATGTTTCTATATTGTTCCACCTGACTAGATTATGAAGTCTGCAATGGGTAGTTTTTTGGTTTTTTTTTGTTTTTTTGTTTTGAGTTGGAGTCTCACTCAGTCACCCAGACTGGAGTGCAGTGGCCGCTCCCGGCCACCGCAGCCTCACCTGCTGGGCTCCGGCGATCCTTCTGCCTCAGCCTTCCAAGTAGCCGGAATTACAGGCATTGCGCTACCACACCCGACTGATTTTTTGATTTATTGTAGAGATGAGGTCTCGCCTGCCCAGGCGGGTCTTGAACCCGCGGGCTCAGGCAATCCATTCACCTCAGCCTCCCAAAGGCACCGGATTACAGGCTGAGCCACCGAGCCCGGCTAGGTAGTTTTACTCATCTTCATATCCTTGGTTCACAGCAAAGAAAATTAACACACAGCACATACAATAATTGGTTGCATCAATAAATACAATTTATATTATAGTCATAAAATAATTTTTAAAAGTATATTACCTTCATCCACTGTGAGAGAACCAAGTAAAAAGCATGGCAAATTTTTTGTATTCTGCTTAGCATGACGATAAGCAAGCCGGATGGTCTTTTCAGTCACCACAAGTTTTGGATTTCTGAAAAACAACATGTCTTTTTTATGAATGTGGTGGATTTGATACCCTAGAAAACCCCCCTGCCGTAAGAAGTTGCCTAAAATATAACACACATCTTTTAAAATGTACAGAGAACCGGGCTCAGTGGCTCAGTCTGTAATCCTGCGCCTTTGGGAGGCTGAGGTGAGTGGATTGCCTGAGCTCGCGGGTTCGAGACCCGCCTGGGCAGCAAGACCTCATCTCTACAATAAATCAAAAAATCAGCCGGGCATGTAGCGCATGCCTGTAATTCTGCCTACTCGGAAGGCTGAGGTGGAAGGATCTCCGGAGCCCAGCAGGTCGAGGCTGCGGTGGCCGGGAGCGGCCACTGCACTCCAGTCTGGGCGACAGAGTGAGACTCCAACTCAAAAAAAAAAAAAAATGTACAGAGAGATCACTGTCAGGAAATCCCAGGGAAAGCCCACCTGAAAACCAGAACAGAAACAAGCAGACACTGAAGCTACAGTTGTTATCCAGGCATTGGCTTAATTTTATGAACCTGAGCAGGAATCAAACTATGAGGTCAGTCTCCTGTTTTTGTAAATAAAATTAGACTAAAACAGTCATATTTCCCTTTGTTTACGTATTGTCTATGAGCTTCAGATATTAGCATTACAGTAGTCTCCCCCTTATCCTAGGGGTACACAGTCCAAGACTTCCAGTGGATGCCTGAAACCATGGATAGTACCAAATCCTATATATGCTATGGTTTTTCCCATACATACATACATATCTATGAAAAAGTTTAATTTAAAAATTAGGCATAGTAAGAGATTAACAACAATAATAAAAAAATAGAACAATTACAACAATATATTGTAATATAAGTTATGTGAATGGGATCTCTCTCAAATATCTTACACTATACTGCGGGTAACTGAAACCATGGAAAGTGAAATCATATATAATGGGGACTACTATACTGAATATTGAATAAATAAATATAACTGAAATGTTTCAAGAAATATAAGAGGAAAACCAAAAGATGAGCAAGGAATAAGATATTATTTTAAAAAGGCCAGGCAAATTTTAAAAAGAACCCTACAGAACTTACAGAAATTAAAAAAAAATCAATTAAAAAAATTAAATAGATTATATACTTGTATAAAATGGGACAGGTACATGAGCATTTAATGTTTACTATTATTCTATAAGCTATGCATATATATAATAAACATTATTTCATATATACAGTATATGTCCACATTTTAAAACCTTAATGAGGCCAGGCACGATGGCTCACACCTATACTCCCAGCACTTTGGGACGCCAAGGTGAGAGTGTTGCCTGAGCCCATAGGTTCAAGACCAGCCTGGGCAACTTAACAAGACCTCATCTCTACAATAAATCAAAAAATTAGCCAGGTATAGTGGGGTGTGCCTGTAGTTCCAGCTACCTGGAAGGCTGAGGCAGAAGGATCACCTGAGCCCAGCAGGTCGAGGCTGCGGTGGCTGTAAGCATGAATTCCAGCCTGGGCAACAGAGTGAGACTCTGACTCAAAAACAAAAATAAAAATCCTTAATGAACAGATTAGATGGCAGCTAAGCAAAGGTAAAGAGAAAATGAGTAGAGGTAAAAAATAAATGAAACTACTAAAAAGTGTAGCACAGAATGACAGCATTAGAAAATATAAAAGATAGTTAAGAGGCATGGAAAAAAGAATGAACAGGTCTAATAAATATATACATGTTGCCAGGAACAGTGGTTCAGGTCTATAATCCCAGCACTTTGGAAGGCAAAGTCGAGAGGATTGTCTGAGCCCAGGGATTTGGAACCAATCTAGGCAACTTGGTGAGAGCTTGTCTCTACAAGAAATCAAAAAAATTAGCCAGGCATGGTGGCATGCACCTGTGGCTCCATCTACTTGGAAGGCTGAGGCAGAAGGATCATGTGAGCCCAGTAGGTATAGGCTACGGTGGCCGTGAGCATGCCATTGCACTCCAGCCTGGACGACAGAGTAAGACTCTGACTCAAAAAATAAAATTAAAATAAAATAAAAATAAAATAAAATAAAATACACACACACACACACACCTGTTTCATTCTTTATTCTTCATCTGAATACTGTTACACTGCTCAAAGTCCCAATAATAGAGACCGTTTATCGAATACCAGCTATTCCAGGCACTGTGCCGTTTACTTTACAGTCTGTCTTATTTAGCCCTTATAAGAGTACTATGAAAGAAGGGCACAGTGGCTCATACCTGTAATCCCAGCACTTTGGGAGGCAGGGACAAGAGAATTGCCTGAGTCCAGGGATTCAAGATCAGTCTGGGCAACTTGGCAAAACCTCGTCTCTACAATTAAGTTAAAAAATTAGCTGGAGCAGTGGCACACATCTGTAGTTCCAGCTACTTGGAAGGCTGAAGCAGAAGGATCACCTGAGCTCAGCAGGTCGAGACTGTGGTGGCCATGAGCATGCCACAGCACTCCATCCTGGGTGACAGAGTAAGACTCCAACTCAAAAAAAAAAAAAAAAATCAAGAGTACTATGAAACAAGTATGATTATAGCTATCTTATAATTAGGGAAACTGATCCATGGCTACCTTATCAAGGATACATAAGCAGTAGAATCAGGACTACCCTCTAGACCAGGGGTCCCTAACCCCTGGGCCACAGACCATGCCCTGTTAGAAACTGGGCCACACAGCAAAAGGTGAGTGGTAGGCGAATAAGTGAAGCTTCATCTGTATTTACAGTCACTCTCCATCACTCACATTACTACCTGAGTTCTGCCTTGTGTCAGATCAGCCGCAGTATTAGATTCCCATAAGAGTGTGAATCCTATTGGGAGCTGTGTGTGTGAGGGATCTAGGCTGCATGTTTCTTTTGAGAATCTAATGCCTGCTGATCTGAGGTGGAGCTGAGGCAGTGATGCCAACACTGGAGAGGAAGTGCAAATACAGATTAACACTAGAAGTGAGGTTTGATGGCACAGAGACCATAATAAGCCAAAATAATAAATCAATTGCTTGCAGACTCATATCAAAATCCTATCAGTGAGTGGCAAGTGAGGTGATATATTTTAATTGTACAGCTGCATCTGGTGGCAGGCTTTGTCAGAATACAACACTTATTTTAGTCTGCGCGTGGCCTAACCGTTATTTTATTTACCACTTCCATCTGAGCCTTTTTAAAAAATGGCGAGTTGTATAATTATCATATTATATATAATATAAAATTATAGAAATAAAGTACACAATATAGCCGGGCTCAGTGGCTCAGCCTGTAATCCCAGCGCCTTGGGAGGCTGAGGTTAGTGGATTGCCTGAGCCCGCGGGTTCGAGACCTCATCTCTACAATAAATAAAAAAAAAATTAGCTGGGGGTGGTCGTGCTCGCCTGTAGTCCCAGCTACTTGGAAGGCTGAGGCGGAAGGATCACCAGAGCCCAGCAGGTTGAGGCTGCAGTGGCCGGGGGCAGCCACTGCACTCCAGTCTGGGTGACAGAGTGAGACTCCAACTCAAAAAAAAAAAAAAAAAAAAGTATACAATAAATGTTGTGAACTTGAACCATTCCAACACCATCTCCCCCATCCCTGCTGTGTGGAAAAACTGTCTTCATTAAACTGGTCCCTGATGCCAAAAAGGTTGGGGACTGCTGTTCTTGGTAGTCTAACTCCAGTTATAGCACCTTAAACCACAACAGCATACATTTATGTGATTACAGAAAAGCATCTCGCAGCTAGACTGACTCCAGGCTCTCTCTACTATAATCCATTCTCAGAATACTGCTTTTGACAAGTAACTACCTTTTATATAAAATCTCAATGAATTTATTTTCAATTTCCTTAGGCTTAGACTTCAATGTCTTTCTTTCAAGGTCTTGGACATAACCACCATAAGATACACACAAAATCATTTGTATCTTATTCTAATGGGATATACATAAAATCATTTCAATCTTCTCAATGTTCTACAAAAACACCATGTTAACAAACAATGAAAAATACTTTGTTTTATTATAGTTCACCTTTTTTGAATTCCTACTGAAAATACCTGAAACCTTAGATTTAACAACAGTTAAAATATTATTTCTCTAAAGCATGAGGACAGATTTAAGAAATAGGATGAATATTTTGTCTGAGGGCAGCTTCTGAATGAAAAAATAAAACAAAAATGAATAATTGGTCATAGTAATCAATTCTGCCTTACACATCCTCCTGTGACTCTTGTTTATACCGGTTTGATATGAAAAGAAAAACATCTTATACCTGTAGTGACTCAGATGTAAGTGGATGAAATCTCCAATTGGCACCGGATTCCAAAGTGCACATTTTGATGGAGGAAAGTGGAAAGGTACCATTCTGCTTGAAGGAAACCTTAAAACAATTATTTAAATTAAAATACAAGGAATAGCAAACTTAATAGAAATTTTATAAGGAACAATTAACTATTTTTTGTTTTGGAGGGGGTGGCATTCAGGGTCTCACTTTGTTGCCCAGGCTGGAATACAGTGGCAAGATCACAGCTTACTGTACCCTTAAACTGCTGGGCTTCAAGCAATCCTCCCACCTCAGCCTCCAGACTAGCTGGGACTACAGGTGCATGCCACTATTCCCAGCTAATTTCTTGATTTTTTTGTAGAGATGAGGTCTCGCCAAGTTGCCCAGGCGGGTCTTGAACCCACGGGCTCAGGCAATT